GAGCGGCACATTCCATGGGCACGGGTCGCACTCCAATCGCTCCCGTCTTCCCAAATTTCCAGAAAACCAGATATCCTCCCACTCTAATCAGAAGAAATCCAGTGATCATCAGGCCGAACATCCACAAATCTTCCACGTCCTCGATGGACAACTGAGAGAGGCACACGATCCGCCAGACCTCCCAGGAATCGAGTGCATATCCCCCTGCGAATGTCCCCTCGGGACAGGTGGGAGCCCCCTTCTCCGTTCTCATCGTAGAAAAAATGTTGTCAATCGCGTTGAATGACCAGTTAATTAAGTCCATATTTCCAAAAAAGAGTAGTGGTTTCAGGAGAAATGCAGATAAGTGCTCTGTAGGCAGACGGGACAAGAGCCTTGGGGAAGCAGATAAGGGAGCTGAGAAAAAAGCGTCTGTACTCTCTGAAGGCTGAAGAAATTGGGAATCAAAAGTTGTCTAAATAGTTTTCAAAAGGCCTAATGGTGTAGTTCTGGCTTAGTCTCAAATATTGATCTATTGACATTAAAGTCCTTGGTTTATTAACTTGCAGACACATGATCAGAGCTATATCCAACTTAGTGTGTGTCATCACCAAAGCCACTTCTGCTGACAACAGGAAGTATATTGTTTTACTCTAAAAGGTCCACAGTTGACATTTGTATAGAATCAACATGAGACACTGCCCAATTACAGAAGACATGCTGGTGTAATGCAGCATTCAGTACTGAGATACGGGGTTGTGGTGGCATGGCAAAATCTGATGGCCAGCCGTGGCCTTCACCAAATTAAACACAACAGATGTTACAGCCTCTCAAAGAAATGTTTGCAAATTGTTGGTAATTGTAGTCTTAATATTGCCACAGGGCCCCGTGCCTACATTAATCTCTTTAATAATTTCAACACAAAAAGGTCATAATATGTCAGCATGACTTTCTTGTTTATTCCTTGTAACTATGTTGAGTGTTAACTTGAAAAGGTTTGTAAATTGTTAACTCTGTAAGCCCATAGTTCCTTTTATACACAACAAGCTGTCCTATCCAATTCTGATACCATTAAAATATAGCTATCGTCCCATAAATACGTCTGAGATACTGACTCAAAAATGGAACCACAATCAGCCACCTCCTCTACATGGATGACATACAGCTGTATATCAAGAGTGAGCGAGACATTGACTCACTGATCCACACCACCAGGATCTATAGCACTGATAATGGAACGTCATCTGGACTTGAGAAGTGTGGTTGAATGTTGACAAAGGAAGGGAAGGTAATACATACAGGAGGGGTCTCACTCCCTGAAGGAACAAAATCAGACATTGAGGACAGCTACAAATTCCTTGGTGTCCAACAAGCAAATGGCAACCTTGATGAGGCTGCAAGGAAATAAGCCACAACCAAATACTTAAAACAAATAAGACAAGTCCTAAGAAATCAGCTCAAGGGCAAGAACAAGATTCGGGAAATAAACAGCTATGCCCTGCTAGCAATCAGATGTCTGTCAGGAATAATGAGCTGGCCAAAAGAAAAAATACAGACCACAGATGTTACAGTTTTTCTCAATTGTTTACACACATTTCCTGAAAGCATGCCTCATATTCTCAGAACTCTACACACAAATCCAAAAAAAAAAACCCACACACACACACAATGGGCTAAACCCCTCACTTAACTTGCAAAATTAAACTTCACATTCAAAACAATATTATTTCTCCTCAAAATGTGATTTTGTTGTCAAATGACACACACAAACCATCATATGAATAGACATTTATAAGAACCAGCAGAACACTTATGTGCTCAGTGTTAAACACTATGATGAATGGAAAACACGTCTTCTCCGTTCATCATAATGACTAAAGCCTTTTCGGTTCAGTGTTACACCTACTACAATACATGCATGTGTTGTTATTTCAGATTATTGTTTTTACACTCTGAACACACAAATACATGGTAGAAATTATTTTATTTTTCCCACAAAACATTGCACACAATGTTTATCCCATTCCCAACCAACACATAGTTTCACACATAAACTACATACAACAGAAGAAATTACTGTATACTGTTACAGTAAAAAAGGAAACTAAGCTGCATCCTCTCTTCTGTTGCGGTCTGGCCTCAGCGCCTCATCCACATCACAAGCAATGTTGTCCCTGGCCAAGCAGCGGGGGAAATATCTCCTAGCATGGCGATTCCAGCCATGAAAAGAATCAGCTGCTATATCTCCACATGTGTCCTCCATAGCTTGGAGAAGAGGTATACGGGTTTGTGGCTGTCGGTCATACAACTTCCATTTCCATGCAGGAAAAAAATCCTCAATGGGATTGAGGAATGGAGAATATGGAGGGAGATAAACTACAAAGCGTGTGATGTCAGTGAACCAGTTACGAACCACAGCAGCCCTGTGGAAACTTACGTTGTCCCAAATGACAACGTAGCTGGGATGTTCTGGACCATCTACTTGATCTGGTGGAATGAGTGTGTTGTGTAGGGTGTCCAGGAATGTGATCAGATGGGCGGAGTTGTAGGGGTCAAGGGTTGCATGGTGATGGATGATGCCATGGTAGCCAAGCGCTGCACACATTGTGATGTTCCCTCCGTGCTGGCCAGGGACTTCAACAATTTTCTTCATGAAAATTGTGCCAACAGCAGAGAATTGTGTGTAGTGTTTTGAGAAAAGTGTATTTTAGATTTGCAATTCGAGTGCAAAGCAGGAATTGTGCTTGTAGTTTAGCAGAGTTGGTTAAGAGGGTTGGTGAATTGGTTACATGTTGTGGTAATTGTGTCTCAAGTACCAGAAAACGTGTGTAAAAATTTGAGAAAAACTGTAAGACACAAAAGCTCCCAACCATGCATGGATGATTTGACCCAAAATCCAGCACCCTGAAACTGTATGCTAGCAGTAAGGAAGGAGTCAGAGGACTAGCTAGTGTGAGAGCTATGATCCAAGATGAAACAGCCAAGATATTTACGTACATCAAGGATAAGACATTTACGAATGACATGCTCAGTGAATGTCACAGACAATGGCAAACAGAGGAGCAGGTGCTGGAAATACTATTGTGGAAGGACACCCCTACATGTGATGTACCACCGACAGGACATAGGACAACTAAGACAAACAAAAACTGAGGTTTAGGTAGCATGAGGTTGAGGTTTCTGAACAGTGACGTTAGTAGAAATGTTAGCTTTACCAACGCACTCTTCTGAATAAAGATTTCTGAAGTTTATCCTGGAATATGGCCGTATCTCTCCCGGTTAAATGGTTACAGGCCCAAGTGCTCGATTGACCACTGGTACTTCTGAGGCCTTGACTCCCCAAAAAACTTCTATTTCCTGTTCGGCTCCTTGATATTTTGAATGTTATAAATAAATGTGTACACTGGTCTCATAATGTTTAAATGTCCCCTTAAACCATGAAACAGTCAGAATTGTATATTTTTGTAAACAGACCTCATAAACCCTAGTTGTCTCCATAAACCACCATGTTGTCAAGTCCTCATAAGCCTGTGGAAATTCATATGTGAAATGTAAGTATGTTCTGATATGTTTTTCTTATTTTTGAAGAGAAACTTTTCTTTGATGGGTAAAATCAAAATTTTTGACATACTTTTTGTGTTCACCAGATGCAGGGAAAGGTGTGTCCTCATAAACCACCAAAAAGTCATAGTGGTTTCATAAACCATATACACACATGTTGTGTATGCACGTGTGTGTGTGTGTGTGTGTGTGTGTGTGTGTGTGTGTGTGTGTGTGTGTGTGTGCGTGCGTGTGTGTGTGCGCGCGCGTGGATGTGTGTGTGCGTCCGTATGTGTACGTTCGTGTGTGTGTGTGCGTGGGTGTGTGTACCTGTGTGTGTGTACGTTCGTGTGTGTGTGTGTGTGTGTGTGTGCGTGTGTGCGTGTGTGTGCGTGTGTGCGTGGGTGCGTGTACCTGTGTGTGTGTACGTTTGTGTGTGTGTGTTTGTGTGTGTGTGTGTGTGTGTGTGTACCTGTGTGTGTGTACGTTTGTGTGTGTGTGTGCGTGGGTGTGTGTACGTTTGTGTGTGTGTGTGTGTGTACATTTTTGCTGCCTGTTTGTTAGAGTTAAAGTCATCATCACACATGGGTGACATTTATCTCTGGTTAGCTGCAGCTCGGGAACTATGTGCTGGTTTAACCCCTAAAGCTGAGCAGGGAGGTGTCGTTTTTAAAGTCTTTGGTATGACCCGACTGGGAGATGAATTCCGACCTCCAAGTCCCAGGGCGGACACTCCACCCCTGGGCCACTGAGCTGGTTAGCAGCTCAGGGTGGGATGGGGGTGTGGGGGGTGTGGGTGAGTCTATTTAACTCTCTCTGGCTCCCTCTAGAGGAAGCGGGCTTCAGGGCTGCCAACTCTCACACACTGGGCATGGGACACACACATCTGACCCTCTTCACACGCTCTCATGCCACACCTCCGATGTCTCATGCTGAACCTTCACCAGCTGATTGTTAAGCTAACCTGCGTACAAGTTTTTGATCACAAAGCGACACAAATACCTTTAGGCTGGTGTTGCTGAGACACAAAAGAGTTTTATTCTTCTGTTGGTCCGTTTAAACATTTAACACCAAAAGACAACGATTTAAACATTTTATGTTAAAGCTTATGTGAAAAAACCAAAACCTCTGCAGCAGCCTCCAGGTCCAGGTGTCACTGGGCTGATATTGTCACTGGTGTGTGTGAGTTTTGTCACCAGTGTGAGTGCTAAAGCAGCAGATGGCATGTAGTTAATGCAGTTTATTTTGTCTTAAAGAAAGTGATGGAAGACGAACAGGGACACTGGCTCTGGTGCAGAAACAAAGAAATGTGGATTCACAAGGTTGTCTGAAAAAAATGCAGCAACACTAACCCTTACCAGTGGTGATGGAGAGATTACAGATTAGAGATCGGGGTAATCAATCAGCTGCATTCCTCCCTTTCAAATGAAACCAAGCCCTTCCCATTTTGCTGCAGGAGGTCTCTATATAACCAGAGGACCAAGTGATGCTTTCCACTGCAGCTCCTCTGATTCAGACCGACTCGCCAACATGTCGTTCAGCTCCAGATCCTACAGCGGCTCCACGACCCACAAGACCATCAGCGTCTACGGCGGAGCAGGAGGTTATGGCACTCGCTTCTCCTCTGCTCATGGCGGCTCTGGGGCTTATGTGGGAAGCTTGGGCAACGTCAGCGGGCTGGACCTCCGCGTAGACGCCAACGAGAAGGCCACCCTGCAGAACCTGAACTACCGTCTGTCATCCTACCTGCAGAAGGTCCACAAGCTGGAGAAGGAGAACAACCAGCTGGAGAAGCAGATCAGAGAGTGGTACGAGAGCAGAACTGTGGTGGCCCATGACCACAGCCACTACTTCGCCACCATCAAGGAGCTGCAGGAGCAGGTAGGAGGAAACCACACAGGGTGTGAGCTTTACCAGAGGAACCTGGCCATGCTGCATGTTCAGGCTCACATCCTGAGAGCCTTCAGCTCTAACGATTAGAAGTAAAGCAGAGAAATCCTTACCTTCATACCCGTTTCGTTCCGCTGTGACCTGAACAGAACACGATTAGTTCTTCAATATTTTACTGTTTTGGGTGGTTTCTGGTCCTACCTTCAGACCATGTAAACCTTCTCAGAGCCCACCATCATCAGTCTGTTAGATTAGAGTACATCTGACCTCAGGTGTGTTGATGTTCCCTCTCAGATCCAAGCTGCCTCTTTGCGCAACGCTAAAGCTGTCCTGAGCATCGACAACGCCAAACTGGCTGCTGACGATTTTAAGATGAAGTAAGTGTTTTCTCTGTGTGTTGCTACTGAGGTGATGTTTCTCACACGCATCAGAGCGAGCTCATGTCTGGATGACAGCTGGTGCTTCTAATGAGCTTCTGAAACCTCTCTGACCTGCCCTGACCTGCCCTGACCTGCTCTGACCTGCTCTAACCTGCCCTGACCTGCCCTGACCTGCTGTGACCTGCTCTGACTCGTACAACCCTCTCAGGTTTGAGAACGAGGTCAGCCTGAGGCAGGCTGTAGAGGGCGACATCGCTGGACTCAAGAGGGTGCTGGATGAGTTGAATCTGCTCCGAATGGATCTGGAGAGTCAGTACGAGTCCCTGAAAGAAGAGCTCATCATGTTGAAGAAGAACCATGAGGAGGTAAGAGAGCAGCTAACCACCAGCAGCTTTATCTAGTAGCAGCTGTTTACTGTAAGATTCAGCTTTCTCCATTCATCTGATCCATCTATAAATGATAAGTGACCCGCACTTGTACAGCGCCTCTCAGAGTAAGCACTCCAAAGCGCTTTACCCTACAGTGCATCATTCATCCATTCACACACACATTCACACACTGACGGTGATGAGCTACGATGTAGCTACAGCTGCCCTGGGGCGCACTGACAGAGGCGAGGCTGCCAAGCTCAGGCGCCACCGGTCCCTCCGACCACTGGTGGGTCACTATGATGTAGTGAATGATCCTCCCCCTTAGGTTCCTGTTTCCAGAAGCATCTCCGTGTACTCTCCTCTTCAGCTCACTGCTGCTGTTTGTCCAACACGTCTCAGCTACAGACCCAAGAACCAAAATGCCTTCCAGCTCAGCCGATCTTCACTCAATCCTAATAAAAGCGAGTTTTCCTGCAGGAGCTGCTGCTGCTGAGGACCCAGGTGGGCGGCCAGGTGAACGTGTCCGTAGACGCTGCTTCCTCTGTCGACCTGAACCAGGTCATGTCAGAGATCAGGGAGCACTACGAGGCTCTGATCGCTAAGAGCCGAAAGGACCTGGAGCTTTGGTATCAGAACAAGGTGAGAAGTGAAATAACAAATCTGATTCTTTCATGACGGATCAAACCTGGACTGGAGTCGTAACACGTGTGACGTTGTGTTTCTGCTCAGGTTACAGTCGTGGAGCAGGAGGTGAAGGTTACTTCGGACACTCTTATGATGTCAACCACGGAGATTAAAGACCTGAAGACCACCCTCCAGAGGCTGGAGATTGAACTGCAGTCTAGTCTCAGTATGGTAGGTCCAGCAGTCTAACCTGAGCTAAACGCTCAGGGCTGTTCGTGTGAACAAGTCAGTAGATTTAGCGTTATGACCGTGTGGATCATCTTTGTTCTCCACCCTCAACAGAAAGCATCTCTGGAGGGAAGCCTGGCAGAGATTCAGGCACGCTTCTCTGCACAACTAGCAAGCCTCCAGGCCAAGGTCACGAGCCTGGAGACTCAGATATCCCAGATCAACGCCAGCATCTCCATCAACAAGGACGAGTACAGCATGCTTCTGGACCTGAAGACCCGTCTGGAGCAGGAGATCGCTGAGTACAGGAGGCTGCTGGATGGGGAAGATGAGAGGTGAGACGTAGGAAGAGACACGCCCACTAATCATGGAGATGATCAGATTATTATGAGCACAGAGATGCAAACAAATGATGTCATCTTTTTTCTGCCCTAATTTTAGCTCAAAACACGGTAAGCTACATTTGATTCCTGATTCAGCCTGAAGATATTTATAAGTTTTATCAGAATGATCGACTCATGAATCTTCTTTGTTTTTCTGCAGTCATCACAAAGGTGATCACGGTGCAGGAGACCGTCGTGGACGGAAAGGTGGTTCAGACCAGTAAGCGTGTTAATGTGGATGTGGATTAGGTCCAGCGAAGATCTGAAAAACATTAACAAAGTGAATAAAGATGCTGCAGCTGAGCTAAAGTGTCTTTTCTTTTGTTTGTATAAAAACCACTCCTCTTTAGTTTGGTTAGCTCTTCGTGTCTCCACGGCGATGCACGTTTTGGCCGTAGCTTCTTAAGTCTGAGTGGAGCGAGCAGGTAGAGAGAGGACTACAGTCTCCTGGTAAAATCATTGACATTGAGATCACAAGCTACCGGAGTAGGACGAGTCTTTCTAACAACTTCGAGAGAACCTGAAGCAACCTCTGGGGCAAGATGATGCTTTCTTACAGAGGTCGCCTGCTGGAAGAGACCGGTGCTGCTACACTGTAACCCCGAACAAGTTCACTGAACTCAAAATGTATGAGGAAACTGATTACCTAATAATGTTTAAGTTACCGTATCTAAAATTATAAATTTAACATAACTTTAAAAATACGACCTGGATAAAATTAAGGCATTTAACTACCTCCAACCTATAACTTAGCACTTAAGCAACTTACAAAGTTTAATTTAACTAAACTTGCATATTTTAATTTATTTGAACTTTATTGCATGTTTTTACTGACTTCAATATTATAACTTATATGAACCCTAAATGGACCTATTAAACCCTAACCCAAATAAGTTGAATTTACTTAAAAATGACAATGTGGCAGGCTGGTGAAAGCAGTATACCAGATCATGACTCACGCACCCATAGATGCTAACAGCCAATCAAAGTGGATCACTCAAAGTCAAGTCAAGAGCATCTGGTGTGAAAAACCACAGTATTAATAACAATGAGACGGCAAAGCGGCACAGCACAGCATTACTTTGACCAACCTCCTCACTTATGGGGCCAACATGATGCAAAAAGTAACACCACATTTGCAACATTGAATGAAATAATAACGAGAACAACAATCCTCCACAATAAACATGCATAAACACTACAAAATAGAGCTATAAAACTGAAAACATGATTACCCACAATGCACCGCGCCCACCAGTTGTTTGTTGTTCCTGAAATCCACCAAAATAGCCAGTTCATGGTTGTTTTTCCCATTAATCCACAAATATTTAAAAAAATATGCAAGTCTGTTTATCAGACACACTTTAGGGTTGACGTAAAGATGAATGGAATAATATAGAAACATAAAATAATACATCAATATTTTATTACTCATTAAAGTTAAGTTGTTCTTTATTGATTAATTTAAGTTATGCTTGCTTTAAAAAGAAATAGTTCAGTTTAATTAAAACATTTGAGTTATATGTACTTAAAACAAGGAAAAGGTTGAACTAACTCAACACATTTGAGTTCTAAAAACAATTTTACTTTATTTTATGAGTTTCATCTACTCAGTATATTTGATTATTTTGAACTTTTGGGTTTACAGTGTAAAGAGCACAGGGCAGTGGTCAGAGACAGCCAGGTCAACAATAGAGGACCATCTGGTGGACAGGCCATGAGTGATGGCCGAGTCCAGGGTGTGTTCTCCGTTGTGAGTTGGCCGCGTGACATGTTGACTAAAATCCAAATAATTCAGGATATTAAAACATCTTTTGAGAAAGAGTTTAAAAGGGTTTCCATGTGAAGATTAAAACCAGGGCTACAATGATCCTTTCCGAGGAAGGAGTTGTGCAGAGCTAATAAAATTCTGTTTAGGACGCGACAAACGGTGAGCTAAAGTCTGAGGAGAGCTAAAAGCTGTTAGAGGAGCTGTTAGGAGGTAAAACGATAACATCAAACAGGTGTGGCAGAATGTGTTGATGAACTTATAACAGCAGGACCGCCTCCCCTTCGCTACTCCTCGTCGAATGAGTGAAATTAACAACAACAGGTGCATCTGCACTCAGCCACGTTTCTGTCAAAGCAAACAGTAAAGTTTATTTCTAAAATCAGGTCGAGTTTTGTTCAGCAGTGAGCGAACATTTAAAATATGAACAGTGACGGTTACTCAGAGCGGGAATTCTGGTAATGGTTTAGGTTATTTGTTTGCTCTCTGCTGAGAAGGACAGGTATGAGTGAGGTGTGGGAAGGTCCAAGTCTGACGTGTGGGTGACCGTTTGAATCAGCCCTGGGTTCAGCAGGAACCTGTTAAGGTGAAGGCTATCCGCCCCGAACAGATGACTCCTGCCCAGAAAATCTTAAATTGTCTATAAAACCAATGTTAGGCAACACGGTGACGAGGAAAGCCAAGTGCTCCAAGATCGAAGTCCGCTACAACGACCCGTTCCTCTGCCGGTGGTGGGAGTGGGGCCAGAATAAAACAGACACGAGTGTTTTAAAACTAGAACGGTGGATAAAATCACGCCGGAGGAGCTCTGACCGCAGCATGCAGATGTTGTCGGTACCAACGTGGATGATGGTTTTACTAACTGCTGAGTGGCTCTGGATGATGTCGGGACCTTCTCTGCAACGTCCATCACCGTAGCTCCAGGAAACAGAGTCAGGGCTCCTCTCATCCTTACGTTGCAGACGATGGCGTCCCCAGTGATGAGCGTGGTGGGTCTGCTGGTAGACGCCGGGCAGAGGATCTTTCCAGGACCTGTTGGATGATGGGCAGACCTTCCCCGGGCCTGCAGCGATGACTAGTTGGAACCGATGGCCCATTTCGTTGGTTCAGGATGGGATGGGATCGATGGGCTTTGGCGTCGGTCCGGGGATTGGCGTGACGTGGAAGGCTGCTGGTCCTGCAGCGGTCCTGCGGAGCTACGCCGCAGGACTGGCAGAGGAGGAAAGTCCAGCTCTGAGGCACTGAAACGGTTGGACAACAGCAGACGAGGTGAAGGAGACTGGTGGTGGCAGCTCGGCGAAGCCCCTGCTCGGTTGGGCCCAACCGTGGATCATGCACCCTGGAGCGTAGGAGTGGAGCTGAGGGGGCTTTCGGCTTTGCCCTCTGCTGGAACCAGCTCCTCCAGCTGAACAGGACCAACACACCCACTGCCAGCTGATTGGCCGGCTCAAAAACACGCCTACTGTTAGGGGGAGCTTCTGATTGGCGGATAGAATCAACCAGCGAGAGCTTCATGCACCACTCATTATGATTCAGGAAACTGAGAAGTAAATGCTGCCTCGGCCTCAAGCTGCTCTCTGATGAATTAGATTCATTTCTTTAATCGAGTCCCAGCCTAGTTCATAAAGGCTGATTGTCATTTACATGATAAATAAATCACAGATTTCAGAAGATTTTAACTCAAAAACAGTTTTAGAGAACTGCCAACAGGATTGAAACAACAAAACTGCGTTTACTGGTCCTAGAGAACTGAAAAACTGGGGTTCTTTACAGTTTCCTGCCTGATAACATGTAAAATGATCCACTGCTCATGTAAAATGTAGTGTTTTGTCAACATAAACAGCTGAGGGATGTGCTCGTTGAATGCATTTAATTGGAGGATTAAGAGGGGCCAATAAGTGAACCGTGGGGTACACCCCCACACCGCACCCCCTCCCACAGAGACCGTTGTTCTTCTGAACTTCCTACAAGCAGGTTTTACTAAACATTTTCTTGTCTGGCCAGAATAACTGCTTATTCTACACTAGATGGTGCAGTTAGGCTAAAAATGTCAACATGCTCCCAGCGAAGCTCATCCAGGAGGGGCGTGGTCATGTGACCTGCTGTTATATTTGTACAGATCTCTGTTATCAACTCCAGCTGTTTCTCTCCATGCTCAAACTGTGTGTAGCAAGACTGGCTGGAATAAAAAAGGTTTTAAGCTCAGACTCAGACCTAATAAGAACGGAGAACAAAAGACTGAAAGTACGCAAAGACAAAGATTTGTTTCACATCAACTGACTTTTGAGAGCAAAAATGTCGACGGCCTTTATTTCCATGAGCTTTGGCTCCGTGCACAGCCGTGCAGAAGCTGGTCCCAGATGAAAAAGGCACACTAACATATTCACTAATAACCTCAGTTGTTTTTTCAGACCAGGATCGTTTGTTGACCTGACATCCATCCCTCTGGGAAAGTTCTGCCAAGTGCAGAACGGATAGTGTACTAGGATAACGTCGGTGGAGGGGTGTGGTATCTTAAAAGCGAGGTTCTCGTCTGTGAGTCAGAGTTCCTCTGCACAAAGCTGCTCTGTTTCTGTGTGAGCCGCTGCAGCCAGCGCCCGCATGCAGCTAATCCACATCTCCACTGATGCAAAACATGAAACACATCTGGAACGTTCACCGGGTGTGTGAGGTGTTTCACTCTGTTATGTTACCCACCTGAACACTCACAAGCAGGCAGACCTTTCATCGAAGGTGTGAGCAAACACACAAGGCGGCAGGTTAGCTCGGGCAAGAAGGCGTTCGACTGGGTCCCGGGGGGGGGGGGGGGGGGGGGGGGGGGGGGGAACCTTGGGAGAAAGGTTGATCCTGTTGGCTTCATCAGAACGTGATCTTCAGCTTTCGCTGGAGCGGTTCACAGCCGAGTGTGAAGCAGCTGGGATGGGAATCAGCTCCTCTACAGCAAAGACCGTAGTCCTAAACTGGAAAAGGGCAGAATTCCTTCTCCGGGTCAGGAAGGAGGTCCTGATCCACGTGGAGGAGTTTAAGTATCTCAGGGTCTTGTTCACCAGTGAGGGAAGGCTGGAGCACGAGATTGTTAGTTTAAACGAGTCGACGGCTTCTAATTATTTAAATCATCGTATTGCTCGAAGTACAGGGCGAAGTGGAGTAGCAACCTTCTGTCATTCAGACCTGTTAGTCAGTCCGTTACTGAGTTCAGCTTTTCTCAGTAGAAACAAACCCATAACATCTCACCCAATCACCCTCAACACACACACACACACACACACACACACACACACACACACACACACACACACACACACACACACACACACACACACACACACACACACACACACACACACACACACACAAACTGAAGTTAATTAAAACCAATATTTGCTGTTGGTTCTTCTCCACATAATCATGACTCAACCTTTGGTCCGGGTCTGGGGTGGGGGTGGGGGGGTCTGATGATGGAGGCAACCGTGAAGCTGGACTTGTTGCCCCGCCTCCCTCATAGTCATACCATGGACAAGGACATGGTCAACTA